AGGTGTGAAAGTCACTTACCTAGGCATTTCAAATCAGTGGGGAAAGATGGACTGTTCAAATAAGTGATATTGAAACAATTGGCTATCCATTTGGAAAGAATTAATTTAGATTCCTATGTCACATCATCCTTAATATAAATGAAAGCTGGATGGAGAAAAAATTATAAAGATATTTGAAAAAAGGATTAACAAAATAATATTGGTGTGGGGGGTGCCTGGGTGACTCAGTCTGTTAAGCGTCTGACTTCAGCTCAGGTCATAATCTCACAGCTTGTGGGTTCAAGCCCCATGTTGGGCTCTGTGCTGACAGCTCAGAGCCTGGAGCCTGCTTCAGGTTCTGTGTCTCCCTCTCTCTCTGTTTCTCCCCACTCACACTCTATGTGTGTCTCTCTCTCTAATAAATAAATTTAAAAATTAAAAGAAAATATTGGTGTGGAGAAGACTTTTTATGCAGCATATAATACCCGGAACCATAAAAGAGATGACTGAGAGATTTGATTAAATGAAAATTTAAATCTAATGTATGGAAAAAAGCATCATTAATAAAATTAAAAATCAGGTGACAGATTTGGAGAAAATATTTGTGCCATACATAACAGGCAAAGGATTAAAAGGTAAATTAAAGGTAACAGGCAAAGGATATAAAGAGATCCTCCACATCAATATGAAAAGATAACCTAACGAAAGGATATTGACAGGGAATTCACAGAAGAAAGATAAATGGCTTATATATATAGGAGAATATATTTACACTAACTAGTTATCAGAGAAGTGAAAATTACTGAGCAAACCAGATGGACAAAAATGAAAAGTAATGCTAGAATTTTTAAAAAGATTTTTATTTTTTAATTTTTTTAAATGTTTACTTATTTTTGAGAGAGAGAGTCAGAGTGTGAGAGGGGGAGGTACAGAGAGAGAGGGAGACATGGAATCTGAAGCAGAGTCCAGACTCTGAGCTGTCAGCACAGAGCCTGATGCCAGGCTCCAACACACGACCCCCGAGATCATGATCTGAGCCGAAGTCAGAGGCTTAACCGACTGACTGAGCCACCCAGGCACCCCAAAGTTTTTTATTTTTTAAAAAATTTATTTTGAGAGAGAGATCAAGCAGGGGAGAGGCAGAGAAAGACTCCAAAGCAGGCTTGCACTGCCAGCACAGAGCCTGATGTGGGGCTCAAACTCACAAACTATGAGATCACAACCTGAGCTGAAATCAAGAGTTAGACGCTTAATTGACTGAGCTACCCAGGCACCCTGCTAGTATATTTTTATACTAGTATATAAAATACTGCAGAGTAGCTGGGAAAATGAATATCTGACTTTCTAGTCTCTAGGGGAAGTAGGCAAGGAAGAAATGGCTTAGGAATAGGTTTTAATTTAGTGAACCTTTGATATCTGCCATATCCACTGGTAAGAGAATAGGAATGGTTGTACCAACTATGGTGTATCCGTGCTAAGAAAAACTGTATAGCAAATGAGTTAAAATCTATATGGACTGAAAAGAAAGAAAAAGAAAGGAAGAAAGAAAGGAAGGAAGGAAGGAAAGAAGGAAAGAAGGAAAAGGGAAAGAAAGAGTCTTCAAGATGGAAAACAGTACATGTAACCTAATTTTATATATATTAAAAGAAAATGTAGCAGTTATCTCTGGGGTTGGAAGAAAAACTGAAGTGGAGGAAGCTCTTAAAGATTTACTGTGTGTTTCTGGGGTGCCTGGCTGGCTTAGTTGGCAGAGCATGTGACTCTTGATCTTGGGGTTGTAAGTTTGAGCCCTATGTTGGGTGTAGAGATTACTTAAAAATAGAATCCTTAAAAAAAAGATTTTCTCCATATTTCTGTATTATTTAAGTCATTTACATTAAATTCCTATATTTCCTGAGAGATTAAAAAAGACATATCAAGCAATTACTACCCCTCCTCCAAGAAAGCAAGAACATAAAACCCTCTCTTCTTTGTCCATGGGATCCACTCACCATTTTTTCCATGACCGCCTTTGAGTTTTCTTTCTTCTCTATTTTAATAGCTGTACTCCATTTCTGTTAGTTTGTGCCTGGTTAATTGCAATAACCTTTTTTTTTATTAAAAAAATTTTAAATGTATTTTTGAGAGAGACAGAGCACGAGCAGAGGAAGGGCAGAGAAAGGGAGACACGGGATCCCAAGCAGACTCCAGGCTCTGAGCTGTCAGCACAGAGCCTGGCACAGGGCTCAAACTCATAAACCATGAGATCGTGACCTGAGCCAAAGTCAGAAGCTCAAACGACTGAGCCACCCAGGCACCCCAATTGCAATAAACTTCAGATACTCACACCTCTTTTTTTTACCCCAATCCTGTAGTCCACAGACAACTTACTTTTCCTTAGACCAGGTTGACTTCAATCATCCCTTTGTCTACAAATCTTTTATGGATTCCCCCAAAGAGTTCAGAGGGATGCTAACAGGTATTCCATGGGAAAAGAGGTCTGTGTTCTGGTGAATCTGGGAAATTCTGTGTTTAACACAGTTAAAAAAAAAAAGCTTTCTTCAGAGCGAGATACCTAGACTTTAAAATGCCAATGTGCTAAGGGAACTTCTAAGGTGGAGGAGACTGTGTAATTCTTCTTAATGTATTTGGCCATGCAATCCTTCTGAGTAACACTATTGACCTTCTCAGGACACACTTTGAGAAACAATAGCTTAAGTGAAAAAGTTCGTAATTATTCTTCTGGCATTAATGGTCTTGCTCAACTTGTTTTTTAGCATCTGATTTCCTCCATTGTTCAAAATGAGTTTCCTTCCTTGCTTTTTCCTTCAGGGGGTCAATGCTAGTTCCTCCAGGGGGTTCTTCCTTTCCTAATTATCTTAGCCTCTCTGTGGCACTTATCACCAGAACTCTCATTAATTACATCTTCACAACTGTCTAGTTATGGATAGTCCCCTTTTCTTGGGCCCATTTTGTTTACTTACCTGAGTAGAGCTAGGACTGTGTCTTATAATCTGTAGTACATGTAATATTTAGCTGCTTGAGAATATTGTGTATTTCTCCCAATGGGGATAATATTTACCTTTGCACAAGGCAGTATCTAGACCTTAGATAAACCTTTTATTGCTTATACCATCACAGAAAGCACTGAAAATGACACCAGATAAGTTTCTAATTGCTTTGGTAACAAATTAACACAAACTTGGTGACTTAAATTTTTTTTAACGTTTTATTTATTTCTGAGAGAGAGAGAGAGAGAGAGAGAACATGAGCAGGGGAGGGTTAGAGAGGGAGGGAGATACAGTATCTGAAGCAGGTTCCAGGCTCTGGGCTAGCTGTCAGCACAGAACCCTGAGGGGAGGCTCGACCCACCAACCGTGAGATCATGGCCTGAGCCAAAGTTAGATGCTTAAGCAACTGAGCCACCCAGGCATCCTGAAAAAACTTCTTTAAAAGTTATCTATAATCATTACTTCTTCCTCACCATAAACTGAGCCACCCAGGCGCCCCTCTTGGTGACTTAAAACAATACAAATTTATTATAGTTCTGTGGGTCAGAATTCTGCATGGTGGTCTCACTGGGGCTAAAATCGAATGTCTGGAAGGCCATATTCCATCTGGGTGTGGTAGGGAAGAATCCATTTCCTTCCCCTTTCCATCTTCTGGAAACCTCTGCATTTCTAGGCTCCTGGTCCCCTTCCTCCATCTTCAAAGCCACCAGGGCTGATTGAACTCTTCTCACACCACATCACTGCGTCCGTTTTCCACTTTTAAGGATCCTTGTGATCCTTAAAATTAAATTAAAATTAGGCTCACCTGGAGAATTTAGGCTATTTCCCTATTTTGAAGGAAATCAGTTGATTTGCAACTTTAATTCCATCTGTAACCTTAACTCCCCTTAGCCATGTAATTTAAACTATTCAGTTTCCAGGAATTGGGAAGTGGACATATTCAGGGAGCCATTATTCTGCTCACCACAGGTACCCTTGCCCAAAAGTCTAAATTGAAAGTTTGCATGTAGGTGGTAGGGGGTATGGCAGCAAACGGGAAAAACGTTAGGTAATAACAAAGCTCTTATCAAATACAGGGAGGCCCTGCTGCATGATCTTTGGCAAGTCAATTAAATTTTAGTACCACATTTCTGCTAGAATGAAAATTGCCATTCTTGGCCCTGCTCGTTTAATGAAATAATTATGTAAACGGATTTAGCTTGGAGGATGACAAATAGGACTCAAGAAGTTCTTGATGAATCTTGATGAGGAGGGTGGGCGAGGTTCTCTGAATGACATCTGGAGGTAGTTTGAAATCCAGAGAAAAGGAGTGAAAAGCGCCTGCCCTTGAATGAAGTTGGAGGTTGAAAATTCTAGCAAAAGGAATTGAGTTGCTTTGTAAGTATGCGTTGAGGCAGAAGCCCAAGTTAAAAAGAGGGCGAAGTGAAGAGGCTCCTTAGTAAACACCCCGGTGACAGTGACTACAGAAACGAAGGGGATAAATTTGTGAGGTCTCCGTAGGCATATTATGTTTTGATAAATTCTTCCCCTACTCAGTCCGATAGTTCAAGGCCATCTATACCGTAATTGTACAATCACTTGGTGAATAGGTAAATGAAGTAAAAAAATGGTGTGGTCAGGGAAAAGGAAAACCGTGTAGGTTCCACCGAGATTTGAACTCGGATCGCTGGATTCAGAGTCCAGAGTGCTAACCATTACACCATGGAACCACTACAAGAGGAGAGCCGCCTTCGGCTCTCTAATTCTTACAGAACCCCGCCCCCATCTACAAACCTACCACCCACAAACAGGGCTGCGGCTCTCCCCCACACCCCGGTTCCCCGCAGGGCGGCGCGACAAATGAGGGAGAGGCCATTAAGAGGGTGGCAAGCGGCCACTAGGAGCTGGGAGTCCAGAGCTGTTTCCCCCCTAAGCCTCTTGGAGGGGGCAGAATTTGAAGACGGACGCAAAGCTCCCGCGCACCGCCCTTCCTGGGCACGCGGGCGAAGCGCCGCCTCCCGGAAGTACTTCCCCTTAGGGGCTGGGGCCTGCCGGAAGTGGCGTAGCGGCAGGGAGGGGTTCTTTACCCGGTCCGGCAGCTGAAGCTCGGCTCTCGGGTTACCCCTGCAGCGACGCCCCCTGGTCCCACCGATACCGCTGTTGCTCCCGCCCCTTCGCTCCTCGGCCGCGCAATGGGCACCCGCGACGACGAGTACGACTATCTCTTCAAAGGTGAGGCCATGGGCTCTCCCACTCTCTTCACCGAGTCCCCCGTTCGGGGGCCCGAGACACTCCCGGGGGACCCGTGTGCGGGCTGCCACTGCCCTGAAATCGGCCTTCCTCAGCCCTTCCTCTCTGCGATTTGTCCTGCGGTCTCCCAACTCAGTCTTTTTCCCCCTCAGACAGGGAGCCCTCCCACACGCCGCGCTCTTAGCGACCTCCCCATAGGCCTTTGCTACCCTCAGCGCCCCTCACCCTGTGTCCTTCTCGTGGCGGGCAGCTTTCTCCCAAAATCATCTTCCTCTCCCCAGTTCGGTGGCCCCTTGAAGGGGACCGCCCCTCCCACCATCTATCTTTTCGGGTTTGGCGCCCCTCCCCCTCCTCCTCAGTATACACCCTTCTCGGCTCGCTCCCTTCCCGAGCCCCTCTGACCTGCCCTTCCCCTCGCTCACCCTTCTTTCGGCGCAGACTCCCACTACAGGTCTTTTTCTAATCTGCCCCCCTTTTCCCCTGGAGCGAGCCTCTCCTCTGCGTCTCCTCTCAGCCCCTCCCCTCGGACAGACGCCTCTCGGAGCAGTCTTCTTCCATCTCCCGGCCAGGCCCTCGTTAAAATCTGAACGGGCCAAGGGTCCCCACCCCCACCCGCCCCACGGGCCTCGTCGTCGGTAACCTTCTCGCACTGCCCCCGGGATTGGTAGCTCTTTTCTCTGCCTTTCCTCCCCACATAATCTAGAGCTCTCTCACGTTTCCTGTGCGACCCTGAGAGTGGGGGGGGGGGGTGGGCAAGAGGGATTGTCCATCACCCACGCGCGCACTTGTCGCAGTGACCCGGCAGACTGTTGTGACTTCCCATCTAGGCTTTTTCCCTCCTACCCTCCCTACCCAGCGGCAGCCAGCCCGGGATAACTCTAGACTTTGCTGCGAGAAGGGGTTGCGGATGGGTGGTGGCTGTTATCCTTGCCAGACCTGAAGGCCCAGTTCCTGAGCAGGAAAGGTTGTGCGCTGCACAAATACTAGCCTGCTTTATCACTATGGACTGGTTGCTTCCTGCTGCAACACTGGGAGGATCCAGCCTTTTGGTGTTTTTAGAACAGGAAGGGAAGAGTCCTAGTTGGCCACATACCTTTCCCAAAAGGTGGGGACTAGGGGGAAGTTGTGTGCTCTTTGGCAAAATTAAGTATGTATCACAAGATAGGGAAACATGTACTGTCTTTGGACAGAACATACTGGAGGGTGGGAATAGATGGAAAGAATTGCTTATTGGTTAGGCCAGAAAGAATCCCAATAGTTTGGGGTTTTTTTTAATCACCACAAATAAAGGGTACGGTTTCCATTGAGAAACAGTCCGGTAAATGCTTTATTTTTGTTCAGTGAATGTGCTCCCACTCAGATGCTCTTTCTCTGCCTCTGAATTAGGGCAGCCATCAAGTAGTATGCTGAACAAAGATCATTACCAGGGAGGAAGAAGCCATTGCTATTAAAGCTTTACAGTGGAGGGTGGAGTTTAAAAAGAGTGTTAAGCATAGTGATTGTTTCTGACCTTGCCATTGGGTGCTAAGAATGATTGACTAAAGAAAGACCGAAACCTTGATTTGCTTTATCAATACTTTGCAAATCTTATCACTGCTTAACTCCTTAGCCAGAATATTCTGTTATACAGGGTGACTGCATTCAGTGTTCACCCTCACTCCCCCACTGTGAGAAAGTCATTAACGGAGAAAAGAGTACTTAATGCATTTTACAAATACAAAAAAGGAAATGTTAGCATACTATTAGCTGAAGGCATCTGAGGTCAAGTGAAATTACTTAGGTGAGACCCTAGAGACTAATGTTTAGTCATTATAAGGTCATTTTTTTTTTAAGTTTTTTTTTTTTTTTTTTTATTTCTAGAGAGAGAGAGAGCGCGAGCAGGGGAGGGTCAGAGAGAGAGGGAGTCACAGACTGAAACAGGCTCCAGGCTCTGAGCTGGCAGTCAGCACAGAGCCCGACGCGGGGCTCGAACCCACGAACCGTGAGATCATGACCTAAGCGAAAGTCGGACGCTTAACCGACAAAGCCACCCAGGCGCCCCTATAAGGTCATTCTTAAAATAAGGTACAAGATGGTAGGCAGTTAGGTGCCTTTAAAGTGATTACTTTAGAACAAGATAGACTAACAACTCAATATTTCTCCTGTTTGGTTTGGAGCTTAGCGTTGTTTATAGAAACCATTTTTTTTTTAAAAAACTAAGAATATTAATTATCCTGGATTGGTTAAAGAGATTTTAACTTAATTTTGAGATTAGACCATTCTGTTAACAGTGATTGAGAGTACAGGGCTTTGGAGTCACACAGGCCTGGATTCAAATTCTGACTGAGGTCTTAAATTTGCTTTGTGACCTTTGATCGTCAGTTTTTCTCCTCCATAAAAAGGAGGAGAAAGGTAGTAAGAAAGGTAGTAATACCTACCTCTCAGGATTCTTACCAGAATTAAATGAGACTGGTTGTGAGGACTCCCTAAGTGATTATAATGTGAAGAAAATTACTGTGGTTCTTGTCAGCTTTTTGAACCTTAACTCTTTATAAGAGCATTTAAGTATTACTAAAGAAACCTAAAAGTAGGAATTTGAGGTGCCTAGGTGGCTGGCTCAGTGGGTTGAGTCTTTGACTCGATTTTGGCTCAGGTCATGATCCCAGGGTTGTGGGATTCGGTCCATTTCAAGTCTCCACACTCAGTGCGGAGCCTGCTTAAGATTCTCTTGCTCTGTCCCTCTATGCTGCTTGCTCTCTATCTCTTTGTGGGGAAAGAAAAAAAAGGAACTTTTAAAGTATTTTATGTTTCCATGAGTTATGTTTTCATTTTGTTGTACATTTTGCTGTTTAAGATAGGGTGTTTAAAAAATTTTGCTGAGAAGAATTTCCACTTTTTTTAAAGCTCTTACCGGATATGAGTCACTTTTGTTTTTTAAACTTTAGGGCTGATTATTTAGCCAATTTCTTATTTATACAGTTACATTTTAAAGCAAAGCAACAATAATTTCATTTTAAAATGGTGTCATTCTGCAGAGATTTATTCACCAAGATGAGCTACAGCTCTCCACTTGGAAGATCGCTTACGGCACACAGTTAATATTTAAGGGAAATGGAAGTTACTTCTTAATTCTGACCAATTAAAAATGAAGGGATATTTTGATTAGTATGGGATGGAGTGGTACAAAAGAGAATGTAGATTGGGGAGAGCAGGGCAGTTTCTCTACAATTATGTATTTGTTCTTGAACAGTAGTTAAGCTCAACAGTGAGACTTTGGGTGTGGGGGGTTTATTTTACTGTTTAAAACTCAACATTTTATTTTAAAAGCTTTAATTCTACAGGTATTTATATACAATGTGTTTATGGCCCTGTGGGACACATAAGTGAAGTGAGCATCAATTATAGTTCCTATTAGTGTTGAAGACACCAATTCAGTCACATTTTTTGAAAATATTTAGATACATAGTCTACATCATTTTATTTTCAATCTAGTTGAAGGTCAGTAGTAATTAACTATCAGCTGATTGTCAGTGGAAAAGATCATAGGAACTTTGCTGTCGTGCATCTTGGTAGTTTTTCTTTCACAACTTTCGGTTGAGCAACTCACAGTCTGCTGAATCTGGAAAAACTTGTCTAGACTAAAGGCTTATTGACTTATTGAATGCATTTTATTTGCAAGACTCTTCTGGTGAAGTAGGACTATGAATATAGCAGAAAGAGTAGAAAAGTCTCCAAGTTTATTTATAAAAATCGGAATGAAAATTATCAGTTAATCATTTTAGATGATAACTTTTAGGTCTGATGCACTGTGATTGATTTGTTCAATTAAATTTTAGTCTAGTACATTAGTTTGCAAGAGAGTGTATAAAACTAAATGGTTGAAGAGGTGGAACTTTTAATTAATGGATAATTAATATGTATGTTTTGCTTTTATGGGATTTAGCCTAATATTTCATATATAATGAACCAATCTTAATATTAGGTATTATAATGATACTTGAAATTCAGCAGGTGAGGTTAACCAAGTGGTATAAATATCACTAGGTTATTTTAGAAATGTTATAGATCTTTAATATATAGATGCTGTTATTTGTGTTTATATTATCATACATATATATATACTTTCAACCTTAGGTACTAGTTAAGGAAAACAGGAAGGTCACTGCAAAGTCCCTTCTTGAACTATAGGATGTGATCTTATAATTCACATTTTTAAAAAGCGATTAAATACTGTCATCCTAATGAGAGAAGCTATTTTGATTAGAAATTGAGTCCCTGAATTAATGAATTAATTTTTAGTTTATTTTTTCAGTCATTGCCAGTAAATTCTCTTACGTTGTTTAGGTAATTTAATCCATTCTGGTTTGTTTATTTTTTAGTGACCTTATGTGTAACCCTTCTTGGTTTGATTTCTCATTTGGTTACTGAATAGAACCAGCTTTCCTTATTGTGTCATTTCTCAGCACTTCTTGGCAGCACTGTTAGAGAACCACTATCTTCTGGTGTCACTCAAGACATAATCCTTTAACAAGTTGTTAGTCTTTTAATTCTGGCAACCCTGTCCATGTCTAGTAGAGGTGGTTCTTTTAAACCGTATAAAGCATTCTTCATGAGTCTTGAATTATTTTCAGATAAGGGTGCAATTTTTTTTATACTGTTAAAATTAATTGGTTACATTGAGTGGGGGAAATGCCTTCACTGTCTTTATGCTGAGGTGGGAAGATAATGAGTGGTAGTCATTAGTTAACAAGGAGGTCAAAAGGGAAGAAACCAAAATTTGGAAGTGTAAGAGTTTTTGTGGGAGGGAGAAGGTGTCCTTTGAGTGAGAGTTTTCCAAAGGCTTTGTCATGCTGGATGTCTTGCTTTTTGGTTTTAAACTGACTGGCTCTTGAATTACTGATTGATACTTGAGTGTCTATAAAAGTAGAAATGGTTTAACTTTCTGGTTTTTCCCATCTTCCCTATTCCCACCTCAAGTGAGGCTTTTACACCTCTATGCTAGTGTGGGGCCAGAAATCATTCAAAGAGTTTCTTCAGAACATCAGGCCTCTTGCGCGGAGAGGCAACAGTGAGTGTGTCCTATTAATAGAGGAGAGTGCATCACGGAAACTAGGATTTGACCTCACCTCCAGAAAGGTACACCTTGGAAACTAACATAACCAGCCATCCTATAAAACTTCAAGTTTTTGTATGCTACGTTCATGACCTTAACTTCTTTCCTGGTATCCAAATTAGAGCATTTGCTATAGTATCTGTGTTTGTCATAATACCTCTGACATCTCTAGTTGACTACATAGCTTGAAATTACTGGTTGTACTGCATGGATTTACTGCCACCTGGATGATTTCTTGCTGAATCAGCTAATAGAGGAAGTCAGAAAGATATGCATTTGATAATGTACTCCATCCCAGACTGTCCAGAGGCCAGCTTATATCCGCTCTTGTGGCAAGGAAGGAATGCATAATAGACTCTCTTTGCCCTCTGACCAGAGTGCAGTTAGTTCTCACAGTTTTTACCTCCCTTTCTCAACCCCCTTACCCCCCAATCCCAGTCTCTGTAGGAAGATACGGTCTTATTCCTTGATGTTATTCTCTCATGTTTGATTTTCTAGGCCTGGTGACTAAATCAGTTAGCTAGTAAGAAGCATTAGTAGTCAACAGTAGAAATAAGTATATTTTTTGAAATCCTGACAACGTTTTTTTCCTTTGTAAAAAAATTTTTAGCTTATGTTCTATAAACTTGTGAATGCATTTTGTTCTTAAATGCTTTAAAACAAGTTAACTGCCTTTTTCCCCATTGTTTATGAAATTATTTTTTTTTAAGGTTTTTGTTTATTTTGACAGTGATGGAGCAGGAGCAGGGGAGGGACAGAGAGAGAGCGAGATGGACAGAGAGAGAGGGAGACAGAATCTCAAGCAGGCTCCACACTGACAGTGTGGAGCTAGATGCAGGGCTTGAACTCATGAACCATGAGATCATGACCTAAGCAAGAGTCAGATGCTTAGCTGACTGAACCACCCAGGCGCCCCCTGTTTATGAAATTCTTAAGTATAACATTGCCTTGGGTGAAAAAAAAACTCCATGTGTGTAGTTAGTAAATAAACTGCCTCCTGTAGTGATCATAGGAAATAAATTTATCTAAACCAAACTTGTTTTTAAAGAGTTTTTAAGTCATAAGAGTGAGTGTGTGCGCTCATTGCGTTGGCTTTTACTCAGAGTAAGTTAAGAATTCTTAGCTTCTTAGGGCCCCTGTTAAACTTAATTGGGGTGTCTATGTTTGTAGGGGTCTCTAGCTTCTGGCCCATCTGATAAACGGAACCATGAAAAGTTCTCTGTAGTTCTGTGATCTGGGTAGCAGAGTTTATAAACCTGATGCCTCATGTGGTAAATGTGTTTCATTTTGCCTGGGTGTGAGTCCTGAGGTCACACCTAGTCTTTAATGAAAGTAGAACATTTTCATTCTTTCCTTCATTTTCACCGCCTTTGTTGCTTTCCTGTATGATACACTTTAATATCACAAATTGTTTATTTGGCATAGGATTTATTTTTCAGGTTACTACCTTCTATAATAGTAAGGTTGGTATCACATTGACAGTAATTAATCAATGCCTAACAGACCTGTGATTAAAATTTTATGTGTAAGACAGGATACTGTATCTATGCTAAGCAGATGATATGTGCAAGTTATTATGTAGGGAGAAATAGGTTAAAAAGAATAAATTCGTTTGTTTGATTGGTAGTCCCCTCTCCCCCACCCCCATTCCTTTAAAATAAGTCAGATGCTCTTTTTTGCTTTAAAGCATGGTGTTATTTTTGAATATGTCTGTCTCATTTATCTGACATTAAGTTCTTTGTCTTTTTATTCAGTTGTCCTTATTGGAGATTCTGGTGTTGGAAAGAGTAATCTCTTGTCTCGATTTACTCGGAATGAATTTAATCTCGAAAGCAAGAGCACCATTGGAGTAGAATTTGCAACAAGAAGCATCCAGGTTGATGGGAAAACAATAAAGGCACAGATATGGGACACAGCGGGACAAGAGCGATACCGAGCTATAACATCAGCGTAAGTCTCATAGTTTTTAAGTTCTGAGAAATAGACGGAATTAGCTAGCTGACTTTTGGTATTGGAAAAGGTACTGGGTTTTTTTCCCCTCTTAAGATTTCTTGTGTTAGGATTTTGAAATTTATTTATAAATGTGCTTTTAAAAATTTATGATCCGCAAATTTAGTTCTTCGTGGTGTCCCTTCCATCTTGTGGTTGTTTTCTAATAGTTAAATACATGTTTTTGTTTTCAGATACTATCGTGGAGCTGTGGGTGCCTTATTGGTTTATGACATTGCTAAACATCTCACATATGAAAATGTAGAACGATGGCTGAAAGAACTAAGAGATCACGCTGATAGTAACATTGTTATCATGCTTGTGGGCAATAAGAGTGATTTGCGTCATCTCAGGGCAGTACCTACAGATGAAGCAAGAGCTTTTGCAGGTTAGTGATATGAATTTTGTGATATTATAGTGATTCTGTATTTCTTAATGTTACGTCTTGCAGTTTTGAAACTTTTCAAGTGAAGGTAATCGCTTACAGTAGTTTTAGGAAAGTAAACATCAGTGCTCAGCAAGGATTGTTCTGAAAGTTAATGATGACTGTATGGCTCTTTTGCTTAACTTTGAGTCATTAAAACATCGTATTTTGAGTTTTGCTGCCAAAAGTTGAATATAAATTTGATTTTTTTCCCTTACCCCGGAAGGAGAATATGATATCTATCAGTTTATTTTATGCTATTCTAATCTCTTTTTCTATTATGTCTGTGTTTTACCTAAGCTGCTCTGTGTAGTGTAAAAAGTAGTGGCCCAGGGAGTGTCAAGGACCAGCAGGAAATGCGGCTGTTAAGGAGTTACAACTTCTTTGGCTTTAGTAGAGGATCTGGCTATTTCTTCTGTTCCAGTAGGGACAGCCTATTGGAAGGCAGCATTATTTGTCTACGGCCATACCACCCTGAACGTGCCCGATCTCCTCTGATCTGGGAAGCTAAGCAGGGTCGGGCCTGGTTAGTACTTGGATGGGAAGGCAGCATTATTCATTCTTGGCTTGTGAAGGTTGTGACGGTCTACCAGTGATTATGCTGTGAATAAAGGTTTTTATAAGTTTTTCAGTTTTCCAGGCAAGAAGCTTTATTTCAAATAACATTGTTACAGAATTCTAATTGTTAGATAACACGTACCTATCCACGTTCATATCATAATTATGTGGTTGATGTGGAGAAGGACAGTAAGAGTTGGAAATTATTTGATAAGTGTACTACCTTTTGAGTAGTGTCATTCATTGCCATCATTGGTAGTAGATAGATATAACAAGTATATATTTTAATTAAGGAGCCAATGAAAATTTCTGTTATTTTAATCTGCTAAAGTAGAATGGTGTCCTTACTGCTCAAGGATTGGGGGGGAGGGGATATCTTAGGTTTTACAGAGTTTTGTTATTTTCCTTTTGAAGCTTGAATGTATTATAACTCTTGTATAAAATTTGACAAGACTGAAGTTTTTCTCTCTCCCATCTCCCTGCCCCATCCACCAGAAAAGAATGGTTTGTCATTCATTGAGACTTCCGCTCTAGACTCTACAAATGTAGAAGCTGCTTTTCAGACAATTCTGACAGGTAAGACTTGAACTTTTACAGTATACTAGTGGGAATTGGAAGTTTTATGAATGTAAACAAATTAGAAAACTATATATCACCCTATCTAAGAATGACTGTCATTTAAGAGCTGCTATAGCAAGAACTGTTTAGAGCATAAAATTAGTTAGCAACTCTTGCTTGGTGAGCTTTAATTCTAATTTATTTGGTTTATACTGGGAAAAGTACTTTGAAAATAATTTGTTCACTTCTATTACTTCAGTCCAGGTATTCTATACTTTGTGGTCACAAGCACAAAGTAATGCTTAAAGGTACTTTCATAAGATAAATATTGAAATTCTGCCTATGGTGGGGCACTTGGGTGGCTCAGTCAGTTAAGTGTTGGGTTCTTTGATTTCAGCTCAGGTTCTTATGGTTCATGAGTTTGCACTGAGTCAGGCTCTGCGCTGACAGTGAGGGGTCTGCTTGGGATTCTCCCTCCCCCCCCCCCTCTCTCTGTCTCTCTCTCCCTCTCTATACCCCCCCCCCACTCCTATGCGTGTGTGCCTGCGCACGCTTGCTCTGTCTTTCTCTCACAAATAAATAACCTGAAATCCTGGCTATGGAAAGCTATAAATGCCCTTTGAATTTCAGTAAAGAAAAGTCTTACTTGGTTCTGATATGTTGTAGAAGCAGCTAGGGAAAAAGATGTTATTATTGTGTTTTTAAAATTTTTTAAATACTTATTTTTGAGAGAGAGAGAGACTGAGCACACAAGCAGGGGAGGGGCAGAGAGAAAGGAGGAGACACAGGATTGAAGCAGGCTCCAGGCTCTGAGCTATCAGCATAGAGCCTGATCTGGGGACTGAACCCACAAATCACAGGATCATGACCTGAACCTAAGTTGGATACTTAACTGACTGAGCCACCTAGGTGCCCCCAGGTTCCCAGATTTTAACTTTTAAATGTCTTATTTTATACTGGAAATATTAGGGAATAAAGCCTGAAATTTAAGAGCATGGACTTGGAAGCCTTACTTGGGTTTTAGCCCTGGCTCCTTCACTACCAATGGCTCTGTAAGCTCAGGCGAGTTCCTTAATCCTTTCTAGGCCTTATATTTTGGGGAGTTCTGTTTTTGTTTTTGTTTTTTTTTGAGAGAGGGCTTATCTTTATAAAGACCTTGTAATACGATTTGACTTGGCTGGTATGTTGTGACTTAAAGGTTTTTGTCTCTATAATCCACACAAAAGAATTGCCTGTCACTTGAGACATCTACTGTAGACTCTAGAAATGAGTGCATGACTTCATACATGTAAAATACTTAGCTATCCCTGGTGCAGAGTGGACATTTGATGAATTAGTAGCTAAATAGCAGTTAAAGCGTGAAAAGAAACTTTATTAAAAATACACTAGATATTGGTAATCCACATACCTATTTTATTAGAGTTCTTTTCCGTTATCAGAAAAATAGTAACTAACAGAATTGGTGCTAAGGTTGGATAAATAGTCTTTTGAACACAGTAGCTTTCCTTTAGAATCTTTTCTATGTCAAGTTTCATTACAGACTGTTACAAGCAAGGACGAATTGATTAAATATGCAGTGTGTCTGCAAATCCCACTTCTTTTCTTTACAACCGCTTGTGTGGATTCTATTAAATCAATATGTAGAGTTTAGTCCCAGGAGTTGTAGGTTTTTTGCTTTTTATCACTTTGTTCCCACCCCCTGTGTAACTTGTCACTGAACTAGCCACTGGACGTCCTTGGTCCTCAGATTTAGTGTCTTAAATAATGAGTGAGTTAAATCATTTTGAGGGTCTGTGAGTCTCTTAAGGCCTCTGAAAACTTCACTTGTTTTTAGTCCTTGTTGAGATATTTTTTATGTCCCATCAAATCCCTGCATTCTAACCCATTCTGATCTCAGTTTCTAACCTATTGTGATACTAAGTGGAGGTGAGACCATCTGCAGTTCACTATTTTATGTGTCATTTTGCAAGGTTCAATTTAATGATCCACTCAAACATTAAGTAATCAGTTAAGTATGATATATACTTAAAATTGAACTATTTTGTCCATAAAGATGAAGAATATTTGGCTATTTTTCTTCAAGTTCACATTAGCATTTGTTACTGCTTAATTAATGTTGCTTGAAAGCAAACAAGACTTTACTTTCACTTACTACCGTTTTTTCTCTATATTCACTATTTTCTCAGCTTCCTCCATAAATCTTCAGTATCAGTCTGTGGGATCAAAGGTCATTGCATAGGGCAGCAGACATCTCTGTTGTTTTGCATGTGTTAGGATATTCTAAACTTTTCTTCTCTTTATACCAGTAGGGATATGAATAAGAAAAAACAGGGAGGGGGAAAAAAAGAAAGCTACAGGAAAGACCACAGTAATCTCCTTAGGTTTAATTCTGCCTTGAATGTTAACAGCATGAAGGGAGTATTTACAATGTATTTTGATGTTGCTGAAAGAAAAAATAGTTATTTTCATTTTTAAGGTGGAAAATTAATTTTATGTTGCAAAGTTTATTTATGTTAATACTCCAAAGTTAATTGTGTTGCTTGTTGAGAATAGACTCATGGCATTTTTGACATTCACAAATTTGACAGTAACTCCATGACAGTTTTACTTAAAGTATTTTTTAGAGGTGGTTAGCTAGTACTTGAGTGAGCCTGATAGATTCCCCAGCCTTTGCATTTCAGTGCAGTTTTGTTTTCTTTCATCCTCACGTTCATTATGGGATGTTTTTATTTTATTTTATTTTTTTCTTAAATAGTTTATTGTCAAGTTGGTTTACTTATAACACCCAGTGTTAAGGGATGTTTTTAATCTATATTTTCCATACTCCCATTATTTTTTCTTTCAACTTCGAATATGATAATTTCAGACTTAAGATTTGCAGTAATAGTGCAAAGAATTTATGATTACCCTTCACTCATTTGCCACAAATGTTGATATTTTATGTGCTTTATTCTTTTTTCTTTCTCTTGCTATATGCATTTTACCCCCTTGTATCAGTGTGTATTTCTTAAAAACAAGATTGTTCTCTCTCATAACCATAGTGCAATTATAAAAAATCAAGAGTTAGGTAGTAGTCTACATCGTTGTTTAGCTGCAGACGTTATGCAGATTTTTCCAGTTGTTCCAATTATGTCTTTAATTAGCACAAGAAATTCTGGGATCACATCATGCATTGCATTCAGCTGTCCTAGCTCTTTCGTCTCTTCTAATTAAGAAAAGATCCTTAGTCTTTCTTTTGTTTATTGACATTTTTTTGAAGGGTACAGGTAATTTATTTTGTAGTGTCCCTCATATTGGGTTTGTCTCATGTTCCCTCATAATTAAATTCAGATTATGCACGTTCAGTAGGAACACCACAAAAATGCTCTTAGTACATCCATCAGAAGGCCATGATATTGGTTTGTTGTATTTATTACTGGTAATGTTAACTCTGATCACTTGGTTAAAGTGATAAATGCAAGGTTTCTCCACATAATTAGTAAGTCCAAGTCTTCTTTTTGGTTAAAGGTTGTTAAAGTAGTGAGAATCATTTAATTAGGTGTAGTATCTTTGTTCTTGGCATGTGGCAGCCTTTTAAATATGTCATTGAATCAAATCAGCACTTTTTTGATGTTCAAGAAACTTGATGGTTAGCAGTGGGTTTGAAGAATACCTAACAAATTCTGATGGAGGTTATGGTAGAATAACTCAGGCTTTTGTTATTTTCACGATTTTTGGAGAGCCCAAAGAATTTTAGCTCTTTTTGCTCCCTAATTTGGAATAGTTGCATTTAACTTCTGTATAGTTTACTTTGCAACTTGCTTAATTCTTTCATTAGAGTAGAAATAAGCATGTGTCTTTTTTTTTTTAATTAAAAAATTTTTAAATTTATGTTTGTTTATTTTTGAGAGTGAGAGAGAGTGTGAGCAGTAGAGGGGCAGAGACAGAGGGAGACACAGAATCTGAAGCAGACTCCAGGCTCTGTCTGAGCTGTTAGCAGACAGCCTGACACAGGGCTTGAACTCATGAGCTGTGAGATCATGACCTGAGTTGAAGTCGGACACCCAACTGACTGAGCCATCCAGGCACCTCAAGCATGTGTCTTTTTAATTTAACTTTACCTGGTTATATTTAAAACTATGTTATATTAATATTTTAGCTTTCTATTTACATCTGTAAGAGATCCTAATACAAGAACAACACTTTTCTTTTTAACTTTGCCTTTCCTTTGGACATCTTGAAAAGGGACTATGCATGAATTGTGCAGTACATTTGGTTCTAAAGGAGAACATGCCCTTGAAAGAGGAAAATGTTTGCATCTGGTTTAGCAAGTTATTAGTCCTGTTTCTCTTTCCCCACTTAAATAACCTCTAATCAGATACTAGGTAGAAGGTATCTGCTTCCTATTTTCTTATCAAGGTTTTTTTTTAAGTGACACACCCAGCCATAGGAGATGTTAAATAAATTACTTGAGTAGTGTCTTAGTGCTCATTCTACTTAAAGAATATTTTTCTTTTACTTTTTTTTGATCCACACTTTCCTGTTTATTGCTCTGGCATTTTTATTAGTGGATGTCTTCTTGGTGACTGGAACAAATGTAGCACTAATCCATTTTTACAAAACAGTGTACAATACTTGCAGACCAGTTATACAGTACTGCTCAAATGTCTTGTTTTGTAATGAGATCTCTTGAATATTTAACTTTCTGTTCTCTGAGAACTCTGCCTGTTCCTCTCTTACAGTGTTTGCTTTTCATATAAGAGCCTGCAAAATATTTTTTGTTTTGGTTCCTCTGACTTAATCTTCCAAATGACTTGTAAAGAAGTTAAAATTTGTAGAGGGTCCATTTAATAATTTGCTTAAGAAGAGCCATCCAGTTTGGGATAAGAGAGAAAACATAAAGAATGAATGAATGAATAGTATAATTTTATAGTAAGTTGATGATTGTTTTTATTCCTTAGCCACCAGTGTGATTGAATGAGTGTCTTTCCCTTTACCCTTGACACAGTCCAGTTCCATCTCTTTGCAGTGAAAAGAAACTAAATGAATTAGACTACATATCCTTTTTTTTTTTTAATTTTAGTCAGTAAGCTTTCTTTATTGCAGTCTGTTTTTCCCTTGCTGCTTCTTCAGCTTTGAACCACTGTCACCTTTCTGAAACACAAATTTTAGTGCCTTCTCCTCCCCGCAAAAAAAGTAAGAAAAGGCACATTATTAACTATCAGTGTTTTTGCTAGTTTATATATTCAGTTGACTACAGCTTGCTGTTTTTCAACTTTAGGGAAATTAGTTCTTAATTTGGAGAAAATGTATTCAGTTAACACATTTCTTTCTCTTTTGTTATGGAAAGTTGCCAACATATCAAAATCAGGACAGTATCCTGAATTCCCACATAGCCACCAGCAGCCATCCGTCCATGACCAGTCTTTCTTTCATCTATTCCCACCATTCTTATTTTGAAACCAATCCCAGATATTACATCATTTCATTTGTAAACATTTCATGATGTATCTCTAAAAGATTAGGACTTAAATTCAAAATAGCAAAACTAGTAAAAGATTGGCAGTGTGTCGTATTATCATCTATTATCCGAACAATATTAAAATTTTCTGTTTCAATTGTTTTTAACAGTTCAAATTAAAATCCAGTCAAGTGATGTTCTTATATTGTGTTTGGTTGACTTGTTCTTGGAGCATTTTGAAAATACAATTCTACTTTTCTCTTTTTTGCCCTATAACTTTATAATTTAAAAGTACTCAAGTATTATTGAAATAATACATTGAATACGCTTAAACCTTTCATCTTGAATTACTTTGCCACATTTGGCTTATTTCTACATGTGTGTATATACTCTTTTCCCCCTTTGCTCAGTCTTCAGATTGTAGACATTGTGGCACTTGCCAAGTAAATACTGGAGCATTTTAACTTCTAAATACAAGGCATTCTACATAATCACAATACCATATATTATATTCAAGAAACATAAATTGCGTATTTGGGAGATACAGTGTTAGCTTATGTGCAGTTCATATTCCTCTTTTTTCAAGTATACTAATAATGTCCTTTATAGATTTGGTTTTTACATTTTAAATGTCATTTTGGTCAAAGGTCACACATTGATGGAAATGTTTCATATCTCTGGTATTATTAAATATTAGCAGCTATTGGGCACAGGTTGTTATTGAGCACTTGAAATATGGCTAGTAGACTGAGGAAGTGAATTTTAACTTTAAACAATTTTAAAAATATTTATTTGAGAGACAGAATGAACGAATTGGGGGGATCGGCAGAGAGAGAGGGAGACACAGAATTTGAAGCAGGCTCCAGGCTCCAGGCTCCTAGTTGTCAGCACAGAGCCGGATGTAGGGCTCGAATTCATGAACCGCGAGATCATGATCTGAGCTGAAGTCGGATGCTTAACTGACTGAACCACTCCTGTGCCCCATATTTTATTTAATTTAAATATGTGATTACTGTATTGGACACTAAAGATGCAGAACATTTATCCCTATCTTTTAAATGTATTTTATAACAATACATTTTTTGAAAACTTGGCCAGTTGACTTGTAGGATATTCCTCAGTCTGAATTTATCTAATTGTTTTCTCAGGATAAATTCGTTTTAAACATTTTTGTCAGGAATACACAGGTGTCTTTCATAGGAATGCACTGTGTCTTTCATAGTACATCATAATAGGAGATAGATCATGTTAATTTGTCCCATTTTTAGAATTCTCTTACCTTTTGAGGTTTTTGTTTTTGTCCTGAGAACTGAGAGAATAAAGATAAGTAAGATACATTCTCTATTTGTAAGGAGTTTAGAATTTAGTCAGAATGAAATACTTTTAGGCAGTGCAATATATGACCAAATAAAATGAGTTAAATAAAGATACTTGGTATAGAGGAATTTAATAACATTTATTGGACCTACTAGTTACTTATTAAATTATTAAGCCCCTACTATATACCATATGCTGGAGACACAGAAATGAATAAGGTAGACACAGTGTCTATACAGAGTTTAAGATTTAGTGGAAGAGGTTAGAGGTTTTCTTTCTTTCTTTTTTTTTTTTTTTTTTTACTGTTTTGGTGAGTGTCATAAAATCTTAAGTTGCCTGTTAATAATTACTTAATTACAATTTAACTTTAGTTCAGGAGGCACTGATAACATCTTTCCCTCCGTTTCCAAGAATCCTTTGGGATGTTGGCATGTTTATGAAGTTGTGCTCTTCCCTACACAGCCAAGAAAAATACTAGTGTGTCTCATAGTGCAGATTTATTTTTAATTTTCTGTACTACAGTGTGATGGTTTGTAGGGTTTTTTGATAAGGGTAGACTGAAAATACTCTCATGGTTAATATTTATTTATTTATTAATTCCCCTCTCCTGGTTTTACATCTAAGCCCATAAAGTATGTAATCTCTTTAAACCAAGACTTATTTAATTGACTGGTGAACTGGAAAATCAGTTTTTCTCTTACCCTTAGAGAACTTGTTAAAATAATGGATTGGCTCTGATCAGTGGCTACTTGAAAATAAAACTTAAATGTATACATCCTTTGTTCAAGTTTGTTTGCAGTCTTTTTCTGCAAATCTGTTTTCTCCCTCTATGTATTTGTATATCAACTACTAATGAGTCTGTTCACAGTGAGTATTGCTGGATGTTTTTCTTTTTTCAGAGATCTACCGCATTGTTTCCCAGAAGCAAATGTCAGACAGACGTGAAAATGACATGTCTCCAAGCAACAATGTGGTTCCTATTCATGTTCCACCAACCACTGAAAACAAGCCAAAGGTGCAGTGCTGTCAGAACATATAAGGCGTTTCTCTTCTCCCCTAGAAGGCTGTGTATAGTCCATTTCCCAGGTCTGAGATTTAAATATATTTGTAATTCTTGTGGTCACTTTGTGTTTTATTACTTCCTCATACTTCTGAATTTTTCCATGTCTTAAGTCTTTTGATTTTAGCTTTATAAAATCATCCACTTGTCCCGAATGACTGCAGCTTTTTTTCATGCTATGGCTTCACTAGCCTTAGTTTAATAAACTGAATGTTTGGATTCCTCAGTTATTGTTTACTTTTCATCATGGAAGCCTGTCACTGTAGGACATAATAGAACTTGATCGCTTGAAGCTCAGACCTGTTGGTCTTGATCAAATCAAACTAAGAAGACTTTAGAAGAAATAAGCTATCATTTTGCCACAGAGCAGCATATAATGAGCAGCTTATAATTCATACACTCTTCTCTCAATGCAGTGTATACTTCCACAAATCTAAGAATTGCCCTATAAACATAGCAAGATTTTGAGAGCTTGAAAATTTTCCATTATTCTGGAAGTCACTTTCTAAAATGCCTTAATAGGGTTAAGTAGTTTAGTGAATTTTGTTTTTTAATTTTTCTAAGCATCAAAGCTGATTAGAGGGGGACACGTTTTTCTGGACAAGAATGATCTTAATAAACATAAAAGACTTCTGTGGTCTCAGTAGCAGTGTGGTTATGGAGCCATATGTTATACAATGCTGCCTGGCAGGCTGGGAACTCAAGAGACTGGTGGAATTCCATCTGAGATGCCTCTGTCGCAATGATCAGGCAGCCCAAATCACTGAACTTCTCTAATTTCCCAGCAGTAGATTATGTGGCATTTTATTGCTCAGGCAATAATTGGTTTAATGCTGTTAGTATCAAATTGTGAAGTGTTAATTTTGTCTTAAATGAAATGCAACCTAGTTATCACTAACTATCAGCAGGCATGGATAATTATTTTGACAATGCTGATTTTGAGTTTTGCAATATATTATGGAATACAGTCCAGTTAAATTTCTGGTTTCAGTATGTCTAGGAATATAGTGAGAGGTTAATTTCTGCTCAAGTGGTACCACTTAAAGGCATGTATTCTTTTAGTACATAGTACTTTGAGTTTAAATAGAATGTATTTAGGCATTATACCAACCTGAAATACTTTTTCCCACTACATTATTGAAATCAGTGGAGCAACTAGTTTCCCATTTAGAAATGTGCACACTAATATTGAGTTTTACTTTCTTGTGGATAATTTTAAGCACTTACTCTGCAGTGTTTTGAAAGTTGTGTCAACTGAAGTGATGCTATTCAGGATGGTGGACTATCCCCCAAATACAAAATATATATGTGTGTGGGCTTGCATAGATTACTGTGTTTCATAGTTAATCAGTCTTTTGCGGTGCTCATGACGTGTGAGGCACACGGAAGGCATTGCTGTGGTCAGTCTTTTTGGTTTTCTTCTGTAGCCATTTATTATTTTAGTGTATTGGTTGGTTATGAAGATACTATTATCTATTTGTAAATCGCTACTTTGTATTTTATGCATGCTCTGTAACTTGATTTATTTTTATTTTTATTTTATTTTTTAGTTATTGATTGGAATATATTCACATTCTAATAAACAGTTATAGGGGGACTATTCTTTATGTTGTCAGATTACATTTTTCGTTTGAGTGATTTGGATGCAGCCATGGAATCTTTGCTTCTGATTCTGATGAGTAAGAGCTGAGGTCCTTGCATTACAGAGTAAACACTGAATTGGAGGCATCATTGTGTGATTTCAGCTTTGATTTTAGACATACAGTGCAATTATGCTTTTCTTGGAAAAGGGATCACCAAAAACATTAGGGAAGTAATCTTTGTATTTTCATTTATAACTGTTTCACCAGACCCAGGAAGAGGCATTGACTCAAAATTGGTAGTAAATCTTTCACAAAATTATTGAAGAGAAGGAAACTGTAGGTAGTGAATTGAAAATGAATAACTGAATTTTATCAACTATAGACTTAATGTTGCCTTGGACATGGTTGGATCTTGGGAGAATTCCAGGAACCCTTTAAGTAGTAGTAGAAAATGTCTTTGCATCTTAACAGTGTCTTCATTCTGAATAGTTATCTCAGGAGACAAACTGTCTCAAGTAAGAAACATTAAGTTTTAAATTATTACGACAATTTAGGGCTCAAGGCAGCTTAGAAGAGTTTTGCTGTTTGACCCTGCTTTTCAGTTATTTTAACTTTGAATGTTGTTTTTAAGCCTGTTCTCCTGAAAAGTCAGTTAGCCATTTTGATTTAAACTTGTATGTCATTGTTCTCAATTGTTATCTGTGCTATCTATGATTTTTCTTTAAGAGTAATTGTAACTCTGTAAGAGTATCTTTAACCATTGCATTGTATATGCTAAATTTTAATTCTAAGAGGGGGTGCTAGCTGGTGACTTATGCCAGAGGTCTTTTAAGTTCTGAAAGGTTTTGCAGAAAAGTTAGACCTCTTGAGTTTAAATTGCCCATCAGAGCTAATCATATTTCTTTTGTCCTCAGTGATACATGTATTTTCAAAATACAGATACTCTCAATGGTTTTGAATGTTGTCATGATTTCTTCCATCCATCTTAGAGAAAAGAACTTTTTAGACCATTTTGGCCAGTACCAGAAGCAGAATAAGTCAAAGGCTGGGTTGATAATTAAGAACTTAATCTAGCCTGTTAGGTTTTAATTTATGGAGGGGGTGTGTGTTTAAACACAGGAGGAAAATAGAGATTGTTTTTTTGAAGTCTCACAAACATTTTAAGCCTGAAAAAATTTCAAAAGAAAATCTAAATTTTGTGTAAGGACTGTGCATGGCATGCACTACCTATGGGGGGGGAAATATGAACGAGGACCATGAAAGGACCGTCTTCTACCACTAGCTTTAATGGGTTAGCATAATAACAGGCCAGTGCTAAAATCAGGAGGGCTGATATTTGTTATCCTGTTGGGTTGGTGCTGATGCCACACCCTTTCTGGGAATTGACAGGCCACTTTTTCCACTCATCTATATGATATGCCAAATAAACTGAAGTTGTCATGCTAATGTTTTAAAGAATGGTTGTATCTCCCAAACTATAGGAGGCTGAGGGTAACAATGAAATATAAAAATGCTAATGTCATCACAGCTTCTGTAAAGGAGATCAGAGGCCGAGAAATAATTTTAGTTGAGCTGTTAATTTCACTGAAAATTGGAGGTAGAGAAAGAATATCTGAAATGACACGTATATATGTGGTATTGGGCATATGTTAGAAAGTATGCTAAAAGTGGCAAGTATACTAGAGCGGTGGACTGAGGGACAAAAACTTGGATTCTAGGTGTACCTCTTTAAGTTGTTTTATCTCTGAGCCTCCCCTCCTTCCAGTTAGTGAGAGGAATAGGTTAGATTATTTCTGTGGTTCATTCCAGCCAAAGTATTATACATTTGAATGCAAATTTGATAAGTAAAAGTGACTTTGCCAAATTTTTTTGGTCTAAGCATAACTTGATTAAAATGTTATCATTATTTCCACGTTAACCCCGTTCAATGAGATGAAAACTTTCAGAACATTTGCAAAATGACTGCTGTTTTCAACCGTGAGCATATGTGCTAATGAGGGGTGGGGAGGACTTGATGGGCTGCTATGTCACTTGTAAATTGAGAACTGCTTATATTGGCTTTTACTGTTAAAATTCTGCTGGCTTTTAATATATACTTTTAAAATATATTCATGTCTGAGAGAACTTTTAAAAACATTTTGTGTTTAATTTTTTACTATTATCTCTTAAAGGAATCTATAAAGAAGGTAGAGAAATCCACAGTGCTAGCTCTCCAGTAGAAACCAATGATTAAGTCCAAGGATACAGATTTTTGTGGCAAAACACACACAACATAAGTGGCATTATTTGGCTGTTAGTTTAGTAGTCCAAACATTTGAATTGAATTTAACTATTTAACTTTATTAAGCATAGAATTGATAGGTCCCAGCACAGATGTCATATTTGCTGTTAAACTACTGTATTACCAGTACAGAGTAGTGGTGAAAATCAGTAGCCAGCCAGTAGGAATCCTTTTCTGTGTTTGCATCGGTCAACTTAACGTGCTTCTTATTCCCATCCCAATGAAATGAGTAGGTGCATTGCTTGTAGACCCATTTCCCTTGACGACTTCCAGTCTCGGCATACCATTCTCTCAGATCCTTGTCTTTATGAAATTGCTGACCATTGTTTTAGTCTAGCCAAAGCATTTAATCATACAGCCCTAAGACTATGATAGGAGAAGGTCATGCCCTACACAGGACATCTGGAAAGCCCCAGGAAATGAGACTATTTCTGCAGCCTATCTTTGATGGGAAACAAACTCCGGAGGATGTTAGGATCATCAGTTACTGGTTTTGGTTTACATTTAAGTGGATACCTAAATAACAGTACTTTGTAAGATCTCAGGTCCCTGTGCTTTCTCTTATCCAAGGCTCTGCAGGGCCATCTGCTGGGCTAGACCATGGTTTGGGAGGTAAAAGCTGGAATGAGGAGGAAGTCTGATAACTTGTTGCTATAGACTAGAGTTTCCATCTTCTGTGGGTTTGGATTGGACCACAGCTCCGATGTCTTTCTAGTTCTGCAAATCAGGGAAGAAAATGTATAATCGGTACCCTACTAATCCTTAGAGCCCTCCATTTATCTCTGCCCTTTTCTAGTTGCAAAATTATAAGATTCATAAGTTTGGGAATGTGCTTTGTTCATGCTTTATATTCCTAATATCTGTCCCTTCTATTCCATGTCAAAACAATAAAGAAGGACCATCTAAAAGAGTGAGGGGGGCTAATCCTAGGATTCATTCTAGTTTGGCTTGGGAGCTGTAGTCTGAGAGTTAACCTTCAGGCTAAAAATGTTTTAATTAAAAGTTAAATAAAATCATGATTAGTATAATTATTATATAGCATTTATATAAAGCATAAATGATAGTATAATGAGCCCCTCTGTACCCATCTATCCCTTCTGAGAAAGATTTTCTATCTCCTGTTGTCACATAGGGATTAAATGGGCCTCTTCTGCCTTCCGTCCGGTTAGATGAATGGCTCATAGAATGTATCATTCGTGAATCTTCAGTGTTGAGTGTACAACTTGCAGCCTTTGGTTATTGCTTATGGTATTGGGTAGTATCCTGAGCCTTGTACGTCATAATCTAATATTACTATTCACAGTAAATACCTTTTTTAGCCTTAAAACTCTTGATCATGTTTTGTCTTTCACTGAGAAGTTAGCCTCAGCCCTTGAGAATTCTCTTAGGAAAATCATTTCTGAATGATCTTAGTCTCTAACAAAAAATGTATTATTCTTGGTTAAACATTTTATTCAGTGGGAGTAACTTTTGAGTGTCATATAAACCTTGTGAACTGATAAGTTGAAAGTTTTACTTTGACTTAAGTAGGATTATGCACAAACTTTGAAAGTATAAAGGAAAAATTTTAAACTTCCACTTTGGAAAGCTTCCACATAAGCTATTTTTTAGCTTCTGTGTTTTACTACAAAATTAATCCTGCTGCTTCTTTACTAGTTAAGTCACAAGGTTATGTTTTAAAAGGTCCTAAAACATGCACCCACAGTAATGTACTGGGTGGTAACTTCTACTAGTGGAAAGCTATTCACTGCACTTATGCAAATTAGGTGGTCCTTTCACATGCTTTTATTCCATTCCATAGAAGTACCTTTGTGCCTCCGGAGCTGGAGCTGAGCACAGGCTGTAATAGTTGCCTTTGACTTCACTCTGTGAAAGCAGAGAGACATTCTCTATTTGTGTATTTGACGTGTATGAGATTTTTCAATAATCTTTAGACATGAATAAAAACATGTTACTCCCATTCATTACCTTTAAGGAAGGCACTCTCATTATAAATATGATAGGGCTTGTTCACTTTATTTTCAAGTATCTATTGGGATATTTTTCACTTTTCTGGCTGCCTAGAGTGACCACACAAAGGGTAGTTTTAGTTCTGCCTTTTAAACCTAAGTTTTAGATTATAGATACATTTTCAATATGCAACACAACAGTAGGCATTCTTGTTAAATTAATTCGAGAAATTCATTTTATTTTGTACAAGGTATGATCCCTCTGCACAGTGAACAAATATATTACAAATCTGGGTTATTTAAAAAAGTATTGCCATTTCATAGTTTCACTTATGCTATTGTACAATAATAGTGTTTTCTTTGAATTGTATGCACATCACTTTGAGTGAAAACTAGTTTCTGTAAAATAAACAGATCTTTCCAAGTTGCCAATAAAATGCACAGTGCACATATTTAGGTTGACCGTGAACCTATGTGTGATAGTGCTAGACAGAAGTTGCTAACAGTTGCTCTGTAAGATTCAAAAGTCTCTTACCAGTAACTCTTAGATATGTGAAGGCAGCTGTTGTCACCATAATCACACCCTCTACCTTTCCCTTCTCTGTGTTGCCTAATGTGAATTGCATTACATGTCTTTAAAAATCCTAGAATGGCAGAGCTGAGGGGTTGTGAGAGCTCCCTTACTCTCTACTTCTCTCCTTTTTAATACACAAGGAAGAAAGGAGCCCAGAGGTGGCAGGTAACGCTCCTGACCCAGTGCTTTAAGCAATTCCACCATGACACCTCTTGCTGAATTTTGCTCATGAGATAGTTGGCAGAAAAGAGGTGAAACCTGAATGCTGCTGCTGGTTTGCAGTTTGCCAGGTAGCAGGTACTGTACATGCAGGGTAGGGGAAGAAGATAAAACCTGGGATTCAGATGAAGTTTCTCCTGGCTGATCTGACTTCGCCATGCTTCTTGATCCTTGCTTTTACAAAGGTAATTGAGCACTTTGCCGCCCTGACATACTGAGGTAAGTCTCTTATCTCTATTTCTTTCTACGTATGTATGAGAAATATTTACTTGAGTCTACAAAGGAATTTTCTAGTATTTCTATTTCGTAAGGCTTCTGTGGAAAGGAAATTTGCTATTGCTGATCACTTGCTCCCATGCACACATGCAGCATTCATGTAAGTATTCTATATTTTCCCCTAACGATAAAATTTGCTTAAGCCTTGCGTGAAGTGAGGGAGGGGGATTTACTAATTTATTTCTTTTCTTGCTTTTGCTGGGTATTGCCCAAACTAATGGGTTCCATGGCAGACTTCCAGGTTGTATCAAGCGCCTTAGAACTCCCCACACTTCCTGTAGCAGCCATGTTCCAGCTCTACAGCCGTTGAGTCCCTCTTCCGTATACGCCTTTAGAAGGAGTTTTTACTGACTGGACTCTTATCACAGAATGGAGTGGTATAGGGGTGGCTGTTAGTTTCCTCAGTTTGCCCTTCTGGTCTTTAATTCTTGTGATGAGGTCCTCTTTTTTAGGGCTTGGGAGTTGGCTCCATTTTGACTCCTGAGCCCCAGTCTACCTGTGTTCATTACTAGTGGAAGGTATGGACACATCTGAATACCGGGATCTGGAGCATGAGCTCATTATAATACATTTTTGGCCCTCTCGGTGGTTGGTTTCAGTAGAAGTACTTCATATCCTTATATGCTGTTTACTGTAAAGTTTTACATCGTGTTACAGCACCTGATTATAGTCTATTTTTTCTTTGATCATTTCATTTAGTTCCATCAGAAAGCATAATATACTTTAAGCAGCCTGTTAAACTTGCTGTAGCTGCTTTGGTCCAATTTCCTCTACACTTTTAGGTCCTATACTATATTAAGCTCAAGATTTACAAAGAAATGCTTGAAAGCAAGTACTCCTCTGAGTTGAGAAATGCCAACCAAATAAATTTGGGAGGCCAAATAGCCATTTTTAGGGATACTTAGTTCTCATCAGTCTTTGACTAATTGCTTAAAGCATCATCTCAAAAGTTCTAGTTCACCTGGAATGACTCAGGTGTTGGATGGACTAAGGAGACATGACAAGGCCGGGACTGGGCAATATTGTTGAACCTAGAATCAGCAAGATTTGGTAAAGCTGGCCTAGAAGTCATTGTTGTAGATTGAAAGATGCTGCCGCGCTTTGGAAACTTTTCCCCCTTCTGTGACCACGAAGGGCAGAAGAGAGAAAGTTCATTTGTATTAAAGTCTTACTTTTAAAAATTGAAGTTGTCAATATTAGACTGTATACTGTAATCTTGGCCTTTGTGACTAATGGATCAGACATATATGTGTAGGTATTTTAGTAGTGATATTAGCAGTTTGTATCTGTAATACTTAGGTAATAAAACAGGTTGAAGGTAACAGCAACCAAAAGTACATATACATTTCAGGTGCTTTAAAGTAATCCATTCCCCTCCCCAGTTTCCCCTTCCCCCTAGGAAGTTTGTGAAACCTATGCTACGTGTTTTCTAAGTATCATGTTTCAGATGATTAAGTGTATCAGTATATATTTAGCTGATGTTGATGAGTAGCTGTATCATAAATGTTTTAAAAGATCATATAGTCCTGGACATTTAGGGTTGACTGTGGGTGGGTGATAGGATTTGCCTTTGTGAACAGACCATTTGAACAATTACCCCAGTCCCACTTGGAAGCTCTTCTTTAGTTCCAGGTGAAAGTAATAACTAACACGCAGCTGAAGTCAGTCTGTATCATTATTTCAAGTCAGGGGATTGTCTTCTTTCAGAGAGTCAGAATATTCAGCAGAGCACATTGCAAGAGAGAGGCTTGCTCTCTCTTAAGACTGCTTGTCCTGGGAGGGCCCACTGGCAGGGCTTTGTCTTACTGGGAGGAGGTCATAATGACCAGGAATATGGCTGTTCCTAGGTAGGTCGTATGGATTCTGGATATAGCTGGAGTTATGACCGAGGCCTTCTTGGACCACACTGATTGTGGGCTCTAAGGAATATAGTGAAAAATGAGTTCAGAGAACAGATTAGCTTTGGTTGTCTTGTTGGGGAGAATAGAGTTCTATTTAACGTGATAGGGAGAGAAGCCAGGGAATCTGTGATAAATATATGAGGGGTAGGACTGGGGCTTGCTCGTGAAATGGAAAACCTAAGTGAGTATATTACCGGAATCCCAGGCTCTGGGTCAAAACCAAGAGGTTTAGAATATCCTAGAGGTAGGCAGGCATCTTATCCACAAGCCCAGAGACATAGGTGAAATAAAGAAGGTAGAAGACAGTGATTTAGAAACTTGGCAAATGTTTGTTCTGATTGTTTTCTTTTTTAAACTGGGATTTGCATCAACAATCAGTTGAAGTGAGTGTGTGTATACCCACTGACTCCCCACCCCCAATGTTTCTGCTTCATTGTAGTACTGTTTTTTTTTTTTTTTTTTTAAAGCACAGTTGATACGAGAATTTGATTTCCTGCATGAGAAAGGAGGGTAGTTCTGGGAAAGACAGTTCACCTTGGATTCCTTAAAAAGCAACAAAAAAAGGGTGTGTTTTCAAGACCCGGTGAGTGGAAAGGGCTTGTTTTACTTCAGATACTGCACTATTGCTCTAATTTCACTAAGTTACTTATTTGAGACACCTACCAACTTCATATATATTTTTATTAGATGTCGACAAGGATGGCATATCTGTGTACGGAGACCCCCTGTGCACAGGCGACTTCATTTCTACATAGCTGCTTTCTGGAAGCTTGCAGGTGAGGATGGGTGGGTCCTTAATTGTGGCGTAAGGGTTTTCACTGCTATTCAAGGAACAAGTGCTAGAACTGCACACGGATTCTTTCATGTAATCTGTAAGGCAAGAGAGATTTCTTAGGACAGGCGAGGACATAAGACTTCATTTCAATACCAGAAACAGATTGCAGTTTATGTGCCTTCAGGATCCGAGAGCTGTCAAAGCCTATGATAATCCAAGATTCTCTTCTTAAATACGTCGGAGTGCTTGCCTAGGTGGGCAGAGTTCTTTTCATAAAGAAATAGTGTTTTTGGGGGGACAGGAACATTTTTGTTTTTAGCTGTCAGTTCTAGCACCAGAAAGATTATTTTAAGATATCCGTAATGTTCTTTCACATCTATTACTTAATTTTTACAAAGTCTTGCAAAGATGGTTGATAGTTTGCATTTTATAGGATGAAGGCCCAGAGATGAAGTGACTTGGCTAATATCACATAAGCTAATTGGCAGCAGTGCCAAGACTTGAATGCATGCCTTGGGACTCCTTGGCCTGTTTGTTCTATCATTCTTCCTCTGAATTCTTTTTGATGACTAAGAAGCTGAGATTCAAAAAGAAGTCGGTGTGTGTTTTGGCACAGGTGTCCGCAATTTTTAGGCAGCAAACTTTGGCGGCATCCCCGCTCTTGAGAAGCTTGTGACCAGAGGTGGGGCTGACTGAGTGTAATAGAGGACTAAAAAGCACCTGGGTCTCAGGCAAGCCTTTGGAAAGTTCCTGTTTTCTAGTAAGCCTTACAACGTATCCTTTGGGGTCACTTACCTCAGTTCTTACAAATGCTAACTGAAACCTATTTGGGCAGTATCTTTTTCTGATACCAGGAGAACTGCTTCCTCTCCTGCTGCCTGTCTAGCGTATCATCCCCAAGGCTTCAGGGTATGTTACGGTACAATAGGATGCAAACTGGTTTCCAAATAGGAGGCAGTGGAACTGGGGCTCACAGGAGGAAGATCATGTTTTCTTTGGGACCGGGAGTCACAGAAGGGAAGGGGAGCCCTTCCTTCAGCCTGAGACTATCAGTGCCTCTTCTAGATCATTGCAAGTGAGGCAAGACTGTTCTGATGGCCTGGAAAAAGCAGTAGATTCTCTCATCTGGCAGCTCAGGCCCTCATTCTTCCGTGGGGATCTGCCAGCTAGGGGGTCTAGAAATAAGCATGGAGTTGCAGGGGCTTGACAGTCATGAGTGGTCTTCCGAGGTCTAAATTTCTCTAAGTGGTAGCAGATGGTGAAATTTCTATAATTCTCGGCTTTAAATTTCTGTAAGTGGTAGCAGATGGTGAAATTCTTGGACAGTCTTCCACTAGAACCATCACATGCTTTCTGCCTCCAGCTTGTGAGATTAATGAAAATGTAAAAAAAAAAAAAAAAAAAAAAATTTAAAAAGTGATGATTGCAACTTATGGGGTGAATAGATGTACTCTTAGGTCCAGGGAGAGCAGAACACTCTATGTGGCTGCAAGTTGAGATGTATGCCACCACTAGCAGTCTTTTCTCCAAGAACAGGTGACTGGTTGGGAGGGCATCTACTTTTCTGCTAGTAAAGGGTTTCTGAGGTTTTTTTCAGAGGATAACATTTTCTCAATCTTGTACAAAAGTACATTGACCCATTAATTCATTCCAAGTGTTTAAAACACCTGTGATCTAGCTTGGAGCAATAATTATTCTCTCTTCCCCTTTTATTGCTAATGAGGAAACTGAGGCTTGGAGTGAGGAAGGGACTCTCCCAGGGTCACACTGCTCATCAGTAGCAGAGCATGCTCCAGAACCAGGCTCAGAACATTTTCCATCTCAACCTGGCCCACAGGTAGAGAGGGATGTTGGCCTTGGTCCCATTGCAGATTGTGGCCTCTTTGTAGCATAGAACCCTAGAGAGGAGTAGGAGAAAACACTCTTGCTGGACAACGATCAGGCCTACTTGCTGGTAAGGGTGTCATGAAGAAAGAGGGGGTGCAGGTCCTGTGGGTCTCGGGCCACAGCCTGCCCAGAGCCACATGAAGCTGCTTCTAGTGAGTCCTTTCCTTTCCCTTTCCTTTCTATTCCTTCTTTGTTTCTTAGTAAAAGGGCTGGAAGTATGTCCAGGAACCCCACATAGTTCATCGGTCCCACTCTGGGGTCTCTGAACTCCGACAGCCAAAGAGTAAGGCAATATGACTCAGAGCTGCTTGTTGGAAGCTGAGGACTAGAATTGCTTAAAAAAGGGCTGTCTCCTGAGTGAAAAATCCCAACACCCCCACCTCCTCACCCAGACACATCCTTTTACTTTGGTGGCTGCCTTAGTTGAATATGTCTAAAACTTGAGGAACAGCAATAGAAAATGTAGTTAGCCTCACAGCTAGTATCTTCACTCCAGTTAGGTCATTTGAAACTTGTTACATTTGTGAAGAGGGCTGGACCTGAAGGACTATGATTACTACTTCAGAAATGAGGATATTGAAGCTCATAAAGTTTGCCTAATGCTAGTAAGTAGTCAAATTAGGACTCCACCCATCTTCTCTGGTATCTAGTTAGTGTTTTTCCTCCTTCCATCTTTTACTTGTGTTCCTGTTCTATATCTTTAAATGCAAACTATAGCTGCAACAGCTTCCTTTACCCTCAACAAGGAACACCTATCAGTGGGGTCAAGTCCTGCTGAGAGAGAAAGGCCAAGCTCTAAGCTTTTTGTGGCTATCCCATGATAATTCATCTGTGGCAGTGGGGGAGTCTTGAAGCTGTAGTTCAAAGCCTAAAAGAGCCTCAGGAAGCCAGTAATGCCCCTCTTCTCTTTTCCACTAGAAAAGTCCAGACTGCCTTCAGGTTTGGAGGTATACAGTAGTCTCCTGCTCCTCCCCAGTCCACAGGGATACTTTCCACAACCCCCAGTGGATGCATGAAACCACAAATAGTACTGAACTCTATATTTTTTCCTCTGCACACATACTTCCTATAAAGTTAATTTATAAGTTACAGTAAGAGATTAACAATAGAACAATTATAACAATATAATAGATGTTATGTGAATGGGGTCTCTCTCAAAATATGTTAGCGTCCTACACTCACCCTTCTTGAGATCGTGAAGTGAGGTGAATGACCTAGGCACTGGGACAGGCCACTGTTGATTGGCCTTGACCATGTGCTTCTGGATCACTGTTGACTCTAGGTAACTGAAACCATGAAAGCGAAACTGCAGATAAGTGGGACTACTGTAAATAGTTTGCTCTGCAGCAGGGGATACACCTAAGTGGATAAAAGAGAAGTTGGGATTGGGGGAGGGGATTCATTTCAAGGAGAAGCTGTATCTTCCATAAAGGGGCCAGAAGGAAGGAAAGGATGGAGAAGTGTGTGTTGAGGTGGTCGGGAGAGGGTGTTGGATAATGAAATAATCTGGATTCTATTTTTGGGAACTGGAAGGAGGAAAAGGCCAGGCTAAGCTGGAAAACTTTACACTTTAGGAAACTGTTCTTTCTCCAGCTGAGTCATGTACCTGCCTGCCCTCGGGAGGGTGGGGTAAGGGGAAGAGTAACCAACCTCTCTACGGCACTTCCCCATCCTTTTACAGCCTCACCCTACACTGGCCGGTCCCTGTGCTTCAGGGCATTTTGCAAGGAAAGGGGAAGCATCAACCTAGGTGACCTAAGCTTTGGAGAGCCCTCCTCTGAGCCCTGTAATTAGCATCTGGGCCAAAGACTCAGCTTTATAATGCCTTGGCACTTGTTGTCTTCTAGTTCGTACCTCCCCCAACCCACACACCGCCCCATACCCTCAGTTGCTGAAGGGGCCTCGGAAATGAGCCTATACCCCTTCATTTTATAAAGGAAGCAGCAAGTCCAGAGAGGGGGAAATGACTTTCTAAGGCCATCATGTGAGTGGGATCTTAACTTTTCCTAAGAGCCTGGAAGGCTTTTAGGTTCACACTAACATCTAGGTAAAGCCAATATCTAACTCTTAGAAAACCCAGACACTGAACATCCATTTCATCATCATCATCATCATCATTTTATTATTATTATTATTATTATTAGAAAGCCACACTGTCTTTTTTCTTCCTGGGCCCTAAGTTAGCACTCTTTTCTTCATGGAGAGACCAGGATATGGGGAGAGGAAAAAGGAGATTGCAGAGTCTGAAGGAGAACCACACTGGCTGAAGAAAGTTTTCAGGTTGTCACTGGACTCCTAACTACCTTGGAGCCCAAGGTAACTGCAAGGAGAGATGTGGAAGTTGGATTAGCAAGGAGCATACGGGTAGTTTCCCTGTGGCCCCAACAGTGGGATTCAGGATTTCAGGATCGTAAAGATGATAGAGTGTACTGGGGAGGATTTCTTCTGTAGCACTTTTAAATGCCTGACAGATAAGGAATTGAACACAAAGCAGTTTGTTACAATACTATTGTGTTGAGGGGGAAAAGGGGAAGGGGAGAGATGGACAGAGGTTTAGAGGTAAAATGGGGTTGGTGCCGCAGTGTGTGTGGTGGTGTGCGACTTCAGGATGACAGTGAGTGGAGGTCTTCAGTAAGTAACAAGGGCAAGAAGGACCATTGGCTGAATGAATCAAGGCCGTAGAGGGGGCCATAGAGATGGGGCTAGTTACAACCTCATCCTTCTAACAGGTAGAAACCAACACAAAAAATAACAGTGGGGCCCTGTCAGTGCCACACAATAAGAACTAGGACTAGAATCTAAAACTCAGAGGTCAAGGTCTTTCCCATTGAGTTCAGAGAACTCAGACTCTTGACGCTTACGGTTCTCATTTGGTGTGCCTCAGTAGTTTTAGAAAGTAATTTCATTCCTGGTATAGACTAGTTTATTAAATCTTTATTTGAGAGTTCAGCCAGTTAGTGGGGTTTATTCCATATCTTTGGTAAATAGTTCTGTAAAGTTCCAAACTGTGACATTTCATTTTCCTCTTTTGGAATTCTCTTGTTCTGATGTGTTGGTTCCTAACAGCTGTTGGCATATTTACCTAGACAGACTTCTTTTCTCTAGTTTAAAGGA